ATTTATTTATTTTGGAGTTTGCAATTCAACAATAACTAAATACTTCGATTTCGATGCAATCTCGATTTCGTTTTCCGAACTTCATTTGTCTCTTTGTACTTTTGATGTTTAGTGTTTGTATCGTGAGCATTTCATGCGAAGAAACGCCTTTGATTAGGAATTGGTTAGATGCGATAGTTGCTGAAGAAATTGTTTTTGTTTTTGTTTTTATGTTTTGTTATCGTTCTTGTTTTTTTTTTTTTTTTTGTTTTTTTTTTTTTTTTGTATTTAATGTGTGCTTGGATTAATGCTAACGGTTGCGATAGCAGTTCCATTTTTGTCGATAGTAGATGGTAGTAGTAGTAGTAGTAGTAGTAGAAGAAGTAGTAGAGATGTGGTAGGAGTAGGAGTGGGATTCAGGAACGGAAGCAGTTGGATGGGAAGGCAGTGAAAGAGATGGAAAGAGAGAGAAGAAATATTGTATGTAAATAAAAAACATCCAAATACAAATTAGAAATCATATAGAAATTAGATATATTAAATAGACAAAGGTTAAGTGCTAGGCATCGCCCCTCTCTAGTAGCGACGCTGGCGATAGACGCGCCTTACATAGACTGGACGACGATATTGATAGCCGGCCTGGCTGCTGTACGCGTGTCCTGCCACCTGCTGCGGCTGGAGGAGTGGGGCCAGATACTGGGCGCGCTGCTGGATCGGCTGCTGGGCATAGGCGATCGGCTGAGCCACGGCAACGGGGCGCACGGCCGCGGCAACGGGACGGGCAACGGGACGAGGCAGTCCAATCACTGGACGGGGCACTGGGGACACAGCCAGGGGCCGTTGGGCAACTGGACGGGGCGCTGGGGCGGCTGGTAGCGGCTCATCGATGTCAATGTATTCCGGCTCGGGTGTCGCAATGTCCTGCGGGTTGGGTCCCTGTGTGGCCGAATCGGGCAGCTGCGCAGCAGTCGCACAGCCAAGCAGCGCCAGAGCAACGAACACGAAGAATTTCTGCCGGAAACAAGAGCAAATATTGAAGTACACTTGGATTCTGATTGGTTCTCGCTAATAGTTCGTTTATATTTAGCATCAGCCTGGGCGCGAATGGAATGCAGACGAGTGCCCACTCATGCCTGTCAGCTGGCAATGAAGTCGTACACTTGAACTGGAAGCACTTCAATACAATTCTTGTTCATACACACACACTCGGACACACACACGTATACGTGTGTAAATATAATTTGTTCTCTATTTATTTATATCATTTTTTTTTTCACAATGTCTTGTCCTTCATACACTCTGAGCACTCGTCGCAATTCCTGTGAGGATCACATACCATTTTGTTAAGCTTAAATAGGTTTCAGATTCGTTGGGTTACGCAAAAAATTTCTCGTCCAGAAGCGCACGAGCAATTTACACTTAAGAAGTTCAAAGCACAAATGATGATGAGCTGGGCTGTTTCTATGAAATTTATACTATATCTGGCCCGTCCGGTTCGCTATGTGGGTCTAAGAGAAGCAGCGCAAAGCGACGACCGCCAAAAAAAAAAAAATATTTATATATAAGAAACTCACACAGACACAGACACATATGTGTTGTTATAAATAAAGTAACAGCAACAGCAACAGCAACAGCAACAGCAAAAGCAACAATGGCCAGTCAAACAACAACAGTAACTTTTAACAACATTAAACAAATTCAAATCAAAATTTAAATTATATAACCAATATCATATGGTTGGATAGAAACCGCAGCTAGAAGTGGGCGCATGCCTGAGCATCTGCCGAGCATTGATAGACAATCACAATCACAATCACAGTCAGAGTCACAGTCAGAGTCACAGTCACCATCCCAATCACTTTGGTGTCGTCACGAGCCGTGACGCATCGACAGCAAATAAAAAAAATTTAAAAAAATATATCCAAAACAAAATAAGATAGTTTGATCATTTAAGAGTTCAACTCGATCACACACACACACATTGACATACTCTCTCTCTGTCTCACTCTTTCAGTTGCTGCTTCTCTTTCTCTGACATTCTCGCTTCGTCTCTCTTAAGTGCTGCGCTGTGCTTGGCACGGCTCGTGGCTCAATTGAAGTTCGTTGCCTAAGTCTTTTGTATTGTTCTTGATATTCGCTCCAATTTGCATAGCAGTTTTGAAGAATAATATTTTTGGCCAACTCTCTTACGAAGTGAAGCCCTCTAATTATGCAGACACTTTGAGTATATTTTTATATTATGATTTACTGCCTCATAAATCTGCATAATTAGGGGCGTGCCGCCGATGTTGTCACACTCACTCACAACTGGCTTACAGCTGGCATTAGGTTGATCTGTTATAGCAACACCTGATGTGTGGAGTATCTTGCCCGTCCAATTGTTTGTCAGCTCACTTGACCTCTGCTGCAAACTAATAACAATTTAACGGCTTTCAAGCAAACAAATATCATTTCCGTTTAACAGATATAAAATTGAAGAAGCGAAAAAAAAACCGAATCAAAAACATTTTGTGTGGGGGAAATACATTCACCTGGCATGTGATGGTGCTGCTTTTGGCATCAAGGCTATAGCAGAGGAAATGCCACTGAGTTGGCCTACAGAAAAGGGCCGAGCAGTGCTGCCATTTTGAATGGAGCCATAAAATTAAGCTAGAATTCAGTCCACTGGTTTTCTGATTCTAACTGGGTGTGACATCATGCCGCCTTTCACTTGCTCGGCGGCTTCTGCGCGCCTTGATTAATTGAATCATTGTCATCGCCGAGCATGAGCAGACAAATTCTAAACAAATAGCCAGTCAACCAGCTGCACATGGTTTCAACAACAATTTATCGATATTTTTACGGTTATTAGAAAATTGAAAAGTAATTAATAACGACTTTGTTGGCATATTAAATTTCAAGTCAAGAAACCAAGCGGCGATCAATCTACCATTAGCTATGGATCTAAACGATGCGTTGGTTGCGTCAATATTTTTTTTCGTATTTTTTTTTCGATATTTTCAAATTTGTTTTGTCGATTGTCATTTTATATGGAAAACTAATCGAAGGCAGTCGCCGATGCATCGGTATCAGCCGCTTAAATCTATAGCAGGGCGTGGCAGATTTATTGAGTTGTTGTGAATTGAATATAATGGCATTTTAAAAGAAATATAACCCATTTTTATTTATTTTATGGCAACAATCATCTAATGTGAATATATGTTTATCATTTTATGTCAACCATCTATGGCTGCGCACCGGAACCAAAAGCACCAGTTCGCCAGCCAAATTAGCATAGTAGCAGCAACGCAAAGAACCGGTACGAACCAATCACAAAATCAAAGAAAAACAGAATTAAAAGCCGTGAGCCGCCTTAAATGCCGGCGTTCGATACCTGTGCCTCAAATTTATGGAGTCAAAAGTGTCGCATCATTAGCTCAGCGCACTAAAAACTGCTCGAATTGAATCGAAAACGAGGGGGAAGAAAACTGAATACCCGAAATGAAAGGAAGTCACGAAGCCTCGACTCCCCAACTTAGTTGATTATAATGTTTAGAGCGAGGCGGGACAATAGCTTCAACTATTTTTGTATACACGTGTATAGATAGCGTATTCGACCTGTTAGCCAAAATGCCAAGATGCCAATAAGGCAATAAGAACAATAGAAGGAGCATTAAACCAAACATGATATGCTGATGTTGTTGATGCTGTCGAGCCAAACAATAAGCGATTCCCACGTCTACGACGTTTGCCTAGAGACACGCCTCGTTCTACGACGGCTGCCGGTTGTTTTCGCTTTTGATTTTGCATTTGAATGAGCCGTGTAAATACCAACAAGTCTTAGAAAAATTTGCATTGGTCGAGCACGGAGATCGAGCGGTTTATTTCTATTGTCCACACTGATGGGGCTGCGTTTGTTTTTCTTTAACATTTCAATCGAAACATGTGGCGGCGCACAAGGCGTATACGCAATGCCAAATTAAGTTGCCAGTTTAGCGCGTCTTCTTTGCATCGCATCTTTAGCATAAATTGACAATTGACTGCGACACACAAAAGCTCATAAATTAAGCAAAGCTGCAAAAATTACACATGATTTGAAATCATACTGCAGTCTTTGCCAGCCTTGGCCAAAAGCAATTCAAATTAAAATTCTTTGGCTCGCGAATTAGCCAATTTTTTTTTTTGCTGTGACAAGCTGCTCTTAGTCAAATATAAATAAATTGTTGTTACTAATGTTATTGTTGTTGTTATTGTTGTTGCTGGCCCGCTCCTGTCAGCCACTTTAAAGTAATTTTGTCAAGTGTCCAAAACAATGAATCGTAAATAACTGACATGTTTCCGCACATTCACCAACGCAGCAGCTCGCATTAGCATTATAAATATTCAATTAAATATGAATAAACTTAAGCAGAAGCGCCAACAACGAACTGCTCTATACACTGACTCCAATTGGATGTCGATGAGATTATAACGAGAGTTAATATACTCCTTAATAGGTGAATGTACTGAAAGGTACGCCTTGGCCTTTAGTATATAAAGTTTATGAATATTGTAATTCAAAATATATAAACAAGTTTCGAAATATTCTTCCAATTTTTTTCAATATTAATTATTAAATACAAATATTTATTTTACACAATATATTTAATT